GAGGCCTATTTTGAAATTCTAATCAGCATCAAAAAAACATCTGCCCCTTGTCGGTGAGGGAAACGAACACAGAGAGAGAGAAATATTTAAAGAAAAGAGAGTTTTTGCTTCTGTGGTCTTCAGAGTTTCCACAGCTCTGTACAGATCTGAGGGCTTATTCTGAGCCCTGTTCCTGAGCATGTGTTCCTGGCTGGCCTCTTCCTCTGACACACACACACACACTCGCACACATACACACCTCTGCTGGATCCACACCGCTCTCCCCAAGAAACCCATCTGTCAAATCCCCCTGTAATTCCAGCTAATAGTTTCCAAAAAACAGAGGCCGAGCCCACCGAAAACCACGAGCCCCCACAAAAGGTTGGAGCGGGGCTTGTGACGAGGCTTCGAAATCTGTCTGTTCTGCTTCTCCTCTTTAAAATTCACATTTTAATGCAGCTGCTCATTCATTAGTGTGGCAGACATGATCTAATAACATCTATTATGTAACGGGTAATAACTTTTTTTAGCGGTAATAACTAATTTGTGGGAATTCCCTTCAGGTGATGACATGGACCGATGTATAATGAGACTGTGAATACTTATATATTTCATTGATTGATTTAATTTCAAAGGAAACTCTTCTTGTGCAAAAACAGAACACCGTATCACTTATTCCCCGCTGGACTCAATATGTCAAAACCTTTCATTTAAATTATTAAACGCCACACCCAGAGGCTGCAGCAGAGCGGGAACACCCAGCTCCGCTACTAACCGCAGCTCACCTGCATTTCTGGCAAATCAGCCCGAGTGGCAATCCAAAACAGCCTTCACATGACCTCTGTATTTAATGCTATGAATGCATACCAGTGTGCCTGCCACAACACAGGGAGCAGACCTGGCTTGGCTGGTCCATTAGGGATGGATGGTGTCTGGCCCCAGAGCAGTACTCTGGACTTCCTGCAGGCTGAGTCCAAAACGAGGGGAAAGGAAGGGGCTGGAGAATAGAACAGCTTGGTGCCGCAGCCAAACAGGGCCAAGATGGCTGCAGCCAAGAGTAGCGAGCTCCGACACCGCCATAAATTATCATCTACTCGGGATGTCATATTGTCGTTGACTCCACAAGAGGCCTCTTCATCTCATACGGCGACTTTGGCAGACTCGATTATGGCATGATACACCGTCTCGCATTTTTAAGTCAACACAAAGTATACATTACAGCATCGACAGTGCCAGCAGAAAAGCCAATACTCCATCACAACCGGTAACCAAATAGCTCTTATCCATCTGTTTCCTCATTCTGTCCTGTGGCTCAAACTGCAGGGCAGATAAATCACAGCTTTTTCCATCATGTCTCCCTCAATACAAACAGACACGCTCCTTTACGAGGCTGCCCTCTCTGACTACTAGAGCGGGGATTTGTAAACCCATGTCTTGAGGCAGGATTCATAGTGAAGGAGGCGGCAGATGGGGTGTGTGTGTGTGTGCATGGCTTGTGTCTGGAGACAGTACATGAGCTTGCCAAGAGCACAGACAGTAATCTTGGTGCGGTGCATGTCAAACATTTAGTAAAACCGGCGAACAATCAAACCAGCCTGTTAGAGACAATGTTCTTGTCATGCAGGGTAAAGATCCGAGTCAAGACTGCTACGAGTGAGCAAAACCTTTAAAGCCATCTCAACAGCAATGTTTAAGGGGTGAAACTGGCGCACTGGGCGCATCATTTCTAAACAACTGCTGTGTGAAACAAAATGTATTTGGCTCTATGTCTACCCACTCTGGATTCCTCATTTCTCCCCCCCCCCCCCCCCCACTCGCGAGCTTAACCTTGTCACCACTCTGCAAAGGATCATGACCTCAGCCCAGCCCCCTCGGACCCTACCTCCAACCCAGACACCCACAGGGCCTCATGAAGGCTCTGGTGACACCTAAGGGACTCCTTGGCTCTGTAACTTGCCACTCTTGCGCACTCGCCCGGGCTAAATACTTGCACCTTGCTGTCACAGCGGCTCGCACTGCAGAAAGAAAAGCAAGCGCAGAAATCAACAAGGGGCGGGTGCATTTAAAGAATGGGTTTTAATATACACTGGAGAGGCTTTTTAAAGGCTCTCCTGCTACTTTGAGGATATGTTGGAACTCGTTCTACCGGAATAAGCTGTAAAGAGGCTTTTGGAACATGAAATCGGGGACATCTGGGACTGGCTTTTTTGGCGTGTCCGGATGTGTGATCAGGTATAGCGTGCGACTCGCAATAGGCTTTAACTGCCCTGTATCAACACTGGGATTAGGTCATTGGAGTTGGCCAGTGCGGCTGGGCTGTTTAGTCCAGAAATTGTGGATGGAAGTGACATATCAATCCCGCTGAGAAGAGCTCTACGGGAAGCGGGCGTAACATTTCGGAAACGGCTACGGGACATTTGAAAGAGGGCGTGTGCAGAAAGTATGAGCGAGAAAACACTGAGGGATTTACAGGATATTGTTGTAGAAGGGGCTAAGGTGTGTAATGTGTGTGTGTGACTGTATCTGAGAGCGGAGTAAGTGAGGGCGTCAAGGGCAGATGAAGCCAAAGTAAGGTAGTGTTGGCGCGGGAGTGAGGGAACGCTGGCTTCGGCGGCAGGTCTAATGCTAAAATGGCCTCGCTCCTCTGGCTCTGTCACTCTCTGTCCCCTTTAAACAGATCTGGCACTGTTTAATGCTAAATATGATCTCAGGCCAGCTCACCGGGCAATTATAACATGTAAGAAAAATATACACTGTTTTTCAATGTTCTGCTCCTGTTTTTTTTTCTCTCTCTCCGGGTGTAATTTTATTTCATTAGGGCGAGAGGTTAAAACGGGGACAGCGGTTTCTAATATGGTTTTATTTTCCTACGCTAACAAATTTTTATGACAAGCAAAATTGACCTGAATTAAGTTCTACCTATGTCTATTTATACTAACAGAGAAATGCTGTAAAAATGACCACCAAAGAAACACATTAGAAAGAGCATTCCTGCTGAAAACACACGGGGAGCACGGCGTGTGTTTAAAACCTTTGTACAGCCATGAAATTAATATATGCGCTAAATATCACATAAAAGCCTAATCCAATACAAAGGTAATCCATTTACATTAACAAAAATTGCCACAGAAATTGCTATAATTTTACTTGGCGAGTGTTCAGAGCACGTCTGGATGACTTTTACGGAGCATGTCTTGAGGTGAAGGCAAACACTGCCAAATAACATTCTTGGATGACTTAGCTGTAGCCGTGTGCCAATGACTCGAGCTGTTGTCATCCACTGTTTAGACTTGCTGGTGAAAAAAGAGGTTTTTTTTCATGGACAAGTCCAGAAAACATGATTTTGTTAAGAGTAGGCCTGTTTCCCTGTGGAGGAACGGTAAATAGAAGGGGCTGATGGGAAATGCGAGGAAAAAGGAAGTGCCTTGTGTTTTGGGAGACGTTGCCAAAGTTGCAAGCTCAACCACTGCGCTACCAGAAGTCTTCACCTGTACAAACACAAATTCATCCGGTGTGCTCTGGCAACACTCTTAATTACCCATGTGACAGTCAAACACAGGTCATCATAGTTAAATCTGTCTGTTTCTGCCTCCCTCTCTCTTTCCTTGTGTGTCTGTGTATAAATTCAATTTGTTGGCCTGATTTTACGTTGCTGTCATATCCTGAGAGTGGGTGGTGAAACGGTCATGACTCCATCCAATGAAGAAATAAACAACCTGGATTTCCAAAAAGATTTTCATACACTCTTTCAACCTAGAATGGGATATTTGTATCAGATATAAGGCGGCCAATCTTCTGTCCGAATCCCATTTGCTCATTAGGAATTCTGAGCGTGCTGAGGAGATTTACTGTTGGGAAACAATATCTCCCTGATTCATAGAAAGGGGAAAGGAACAGAGCAGAAATTTAACATATGCATGCTTCTTTATTAAAGGGATAGTCCAGATCTTTTGAAGTGGCATTCTTTGACTTTTTCATAGCCAGCGTATTACCTACAGTGGATGTCATTAAGCACAGCGCCAGTTTGGAGTATCTGGATAGAGTCTGACATGGAAGCCAAGCTAATGTACTGCTATGAAGGGGTCAGCAACAAAAACTTGTTCAACCACTTAAAAAAACAATATCAGTTTAAGTGCTATATTTAGAATATTTTATTGTTTTACATTACCATTAGACAGGGAACTGGAGCCATTTTTTTTGCTGTTTTCAAAGCCAGGCCTATTTGAGAAAAACAGTGATTTAGCATTGCAAAACACAGGAGTTGCTGGTCTATCGCTATCTCGATTGGTTCTTTTGTTGTCTAATGTGTGATTTTGGCATTTAAACGGGTTTGTTTAGATTTACCAAAGTCACACAATAATACAAACTAACTTCCTGATCGAGGCAGCGGCAGACCAACAGCTCCTGTGTTCGGCAAACTAAAAGTACAGTTTTTGCCTAAGGAGTCTGGTGGCTGACGAGAGCATAGATAGGGAACTAAACGGCTTCTCTGTGAGAACGGGCTGTCTGACAGAAAGGTAAAACTATGAAAATATTCTCAATATAGCGTACACTTAAACTGTTATGGGGTTTTTTGGTGGCTAAAATTTGCCTTGCTGTCACTCCGTCCACAGCAGAACATCGCTTAGCTTCTTTGTTGGGACTTCTGCTGCTTCTCCAAACCTATCATCATCTACTGTAGGTAAAACACTGACTTTGGGACACAACCCCACTTCAAAAAAATCCAAACTATCCCTTTATCAGCCACTAAATGGGTACAATTGTGTTTCCTGCAAGTGTTAGTTAATGCAGTAGCTGACAGGAAGTAAACATGGACCAAAGCTGTTGCCCTAGTCACAATATAACACTTACTGTAGAGCCATCCTGTTATGTCTCTTCTCAGGAAAATTCTTTGTGTTAAATGTTCTCAGAACGGTCTGTATTGTTTGCAGGCAAAGAGAACTCTACAGTATGTTCCACAGCAGACTAACTGAGACATGTAAAAAGCACATAAAGAATGACAGATAGAGGGAAAGACTTACGCAGACACTCATTGGCCTCGCGGGCATTGGCCCTCTGCCACGGTCGGTCATAGTGAAAGGGCTTGCAGCGGTCACATTCGGGTCCCTCTGTGTTGTGCTTGCAGTCACACACTAGTTTGCCTTCCTTGTCTTTCAGGCAGCGTGAGCCGTGTCCATTGCATTTACACCTCCCGCCCACCTGGAAGTCTCCCACTGCATAGAAATAAGTTGGCAGCGTGGATGTCACCGCCATGGGGTCGTCGTCCCTCCCTCCGCTGTTGCTTCCGGCCCCCAGTTGCAGCTCCCGGGGCAGCTGGGGCCGGCTGAAGACCACACGGATGTCGGTGACGGTTACCCAGTCCTGGAGGACGGGGCTGTTGTCAAAGTCTTTGCCGGAGGGCCGTCCGTCCAGAGTGCTGAAAGCAATGAGTCCTCCAGACAGCGGGTAGAGGTCAGTGTGGCCATCTGTGCATAGAGCCTCCTGTTCGTTCTGCTTGGTAATGGTTGCTCTGTTGGGCCGGTTGTACATACGCCGGCACTGTGAGGAGTAGAACTGGTAGGGCATCCAGGTCTTGCCGTAGTCCATGCTCTTATATATGGCCAGGGACTCGGGTCGTGGTGAACAGAACTGCAGGCTAACATAGGTGATCTCAAACTTTTTCCCCAGTGAAAGTGTGAGAGTCACATTGTGTGGCGAGGTGTTCAGATTCTCTGACTGCCAGCAGGTGAGGTTGTGGGCTGAGTTGAGGTCAGTGAGGTAGGTAGCAGGGTGGGCACGGCGGGGGTCGGCTGCGTCGCAGATTTGGCACGTGCGCACAGAAGGCCGATCGTCGCCCCGCTCCACCACGCTGCAGGAACGGGACGGAGGCCGGCCACAGACGCTGGACACCATCACCTCCTTGCCGAAGGCGGCATTGATAAACTCGGGGATACAGCGCCGGGCTGCGCCTGTGTCATCGTAGCAAGGGTCTGGGGGGGTCTGCTGCCCTGCGAAGGGATTGGTGGCACTGTGGGTGGAGGCTGAGCATGCCAGGAGGCACAGGCCCAGCAGGCACCTCCAGGGTTCCCTCATCCTGCTCAGAGGGGCCTGTGTGTGAGCGTGTGTCTGTGTTTATGCACGGATGAGTCTTTGTGCGTGTACCCAAGAGTCTGTGTGTAAATGTAAACGTGTCGTCGTGCAGATGTGTCCGTGTGTGTGTGTGTGACTTTCCCCTATGTGTGTGAGGGAAGGAGAGTGTCTGAGCTCAGTGACCCTTCACTTCAGGCTGACCAGAGCCCTTCCTGTAAGAGAGAGAAACAAACACAAAGGTCAGTGTCAGAGACATATTTTTACCATAATAGGATATAAAATTTAAAGTGACGCTGATCTAATGCTACTGTATAAAATCATCCACAAATTATATTTGCCCTTATAAAGCAAATTACATTGTATCTCTTGTACTGTACAATCACAAGTGAATGTTTTCATTGACTAAAAGCCTGTCAGAGGGTAAGACAGTGAGCTGGGGGGCCCCAAGAGAAAGGATGTGACCATTTAAAGAGAGACATTAGTGGCTGCAAGTGACTGCATCCTGAATTTTAATGCCGGCCTCTCATTCAGCACTTCCATTCAGGTCAAAACTGGCCAAGCCTTCTGGTCATGCTTGAGCAGCATGGCAGAAGTCACCCTATAATCCCTGTTGATGCTGCGAAGCAGTGGACCGTGTGTGACCCTGGTCAAACTTCTGCTTTAGGAGTGAAAAAAAAGGACGAACTATTTTATATATTAAGCTTTTTTAAGTGATTTTTTTTTTGCAGGAATTTGACAGTAAATCAAGCGTTGCAACACTATTGTTACACGGTGCTGACCCTCGAGAGGGGAGCATTATGTTCATTCACTGAACCAGAAAATTCACCAAAAGTGATAGCTATTTGAGGATTATACTCTGCATTAGAAGAACTGAGGCCATGAGACTCTATTCAAGCCTTTTTAATTCTTTGGGTCAAGATAGGTACCTGGATGACATCATTCATACGCTCACAGCGAGACGAGGGGCCTCTCGGTCCCAAAGAGAGAAAGATTGAAGCGGGGGGGACAGAGAAAGCCTTGGGGCGAAGAGAAAGACAGAGAAAGAGATGTATATAGCCTGAGGCTTTTCCTTCCCTAATCCCCTTTTTACTTCCCTGGGTGTCAAATCCAGAAGAGCCCTATTTCAAAACAGACAGCTGAGGGGTTGAGAAGGCACCCCAACCCTCTTTGCGAGGTATTTATTAAATTACAATGAATCACACCCACCTCCTCCTTACCCTCACTCTCCCTCTTATACTACACCATCCCTCTTCATCTTGGTAGAACAAAAGGCCGCCTCTGTATCCACTTCAGTCAAGCGGAGGAAGGCAGACAGACGGATTTAAGGGGAGTCGGAAAAACAAAAGTTTCGTTCTTTTCTTATGTGAGGGGTCCAAAGCTAGCAACCCTCTGAAAAAAGGGCCCAGTGGCCTGGTAAATAGGGCCACTCTTCTGTGCTCAAGTGCTTAAACCCAAGCCATTTGGCCTCTTCTCAAGCGCAGATTGGGTGTTAGAGGAAAATACCACGAGGGACTTACACAGAGCAGAAAGACTGTCACAAAGTGGAGGTACAACAACCCTCGAAATTGAAACCACATCTTTTAAACTGCCTTTTCTGCTTCATTTTGAACTCTACTTGGAATAAAGAGTGTATATTTGGAGTGCATGAGCCACGAAATTTGAAAACCTGAACTTGAAAACACTATAAAAAATCCCCTGCTATTACAATATTCAACATATGAAAAATGGATTTCAGGGAATGGGCCTGCTCATAAATGACTGGAGTAAGAGTGGGGCCTTGCCAGGACAGATAAGGACATTGATCAATGACATGTGTCTGAGGACGAGGAGGTTAAAGTGGGCACGCAGGCGGGAGTTCATCAGCCGAGGCACTCCATCAAAAGGCTGGCCGTGGTAAAGCTGGCGGGCCCCGACACCCACTGGGGAGGGCATGGAGAGACGGCTGATAGAATTAGCAACTCATTAGCATCCAGGCCCAGCTTCCATCAGCGGCAGGCTCATCCGAGAAAAGAGACAGCGGGGAGGCTCGGAGAGGGAAGGAGGGGGTAAGGAGCCGGAGTAAAGGGGGAAGAATTTATGACAGGTGAGGAAGAAAGGAAAAAGACGGAGAGAGGGAATTATTCAGACTTCATGTTTGATGGGCATGTTGTTGAGGGAGTGAGAGGAAGTTAGAAAGTTTAAAAAAAACACAGGCAGGAAAATACTTGACAGACTTATGAGGCTGAAAAAGAGGACAAACAGGAACAAGGAAAGAAGAGTTTTAGTAGATAAGGAGGACACACAAGGGGGAGAAAAACAGCGAGGGGCACGACAGTGATAAAGCAGAACTGACTCGAGGGAGGCCGAGCGAGGACAGATATGAATGGAAGCCGTAGGAGAGAGAGCGAAAGTGACAGAGATGGAGGGAGGGAGTTGAGGAAAGGACATAAAAAATGAGAGAGATGGAGAGAGAAACAGAGAGGGGAGACAGATTAAGGTGGAGGACTGCATTGGTCTGTGTCTGGACTTTGGATGACTAAATATGGTGCGGTCCGCCGTGCTGCCGGGCCTGCTGGGAGATTCTTCCAGGGTCTGGTGCTGTCAGGCGCGTCTGGCAGATGAGCATGTAGGTTAAACAGAGAGAGAACAGTGACAAGGCTGTTTAATTCCACTCTGTACGCCCTCTGAAATAGATGCTAGCCTCGTGTTACGCTTCCTCTGAGCAACACTACACTGTGGCAAAAAGCTGGTATCTATTAAAAACTTATTCTATATCGCTATAAAAGCTGCAAAAATGTGAGCCAGCTCCACAAAATTTTTCTGCATCCATAAGCTGTGCCAGGACATCAGCACAGTGGTGTAGCTGGCTGACCTTTGAAATTGTAAAGAATCTGTTTCAGCCAGAAAAGTCTTTGCTTTCAGCATCGACAGTGTGTTTAACAAGCCACAATTTCCCCTCAGTGGGGGCAGACATTGTCTTTCATTAAATGTGGTTGAAGTAGCAACAGCTGCAGGCCCGTGTGTGTCTCTGTCTTCCTGAAGAAGACAATGAATACCACACAGAAATGCTGCTGGCTGCAGCTTCATGTTTAGTGTACAGACATGAGAGTGGTATCGACCTTCTCATCTAACTCTCAGCACGAAAGGGAATAAGCGTATTCCCCAAATGTCAACCTCTAATAAATTCAGTGCATGAATTAAAAAATGTATCAGTCAATCTTGGAGTGATATCAGCCTCCATCTGAGTTTTGATTTTAGTATTGGCTTCACTTTTGTTTACATTTAGATCACAGATTGCGACTTTTAAAGGAGCAGTGCGTAGGATTTAGTAGCATCTAGTGGCTAGGATTGCTGATTGCGACCAGCTGAAACTTCTCCTGTGTGACAAGCGTGAACTCCAGGTTAAGATTCCTTCAGTGTCTGTTATTCAGGAGGTTTTTACTGGGAGCCAAATTATCCGCAGAGGTCTCTTCCTCTCCAAAACAAACTGACCAGGGGTCTCATTTATAAAACAATGCGTAGGATCCATACTAAAAACGTTCGTAAGCATGGGTCAAAGTTTCTCCCATCAACTTTATATGGGAAGTGGCGTACGCGTCTTTCGGACCTCGTTTTGTGCATACGCAATGTTTACAAATGAGACCCCAGCTTATTAAAACCAGAAAAAAAACATTGAATGAAGCGGTGTCATGTTACAAATCAGTGTTTCTCTGATGCTGTTTGCCTTGAACAGGCTGCTAGCCCAATACCTGCTAATGTGTGCTCAGCTATTTTCTCCTATAACTTAAGATCAAGATGTTCAGGAGGTTTTTATCAGGAGCCGAATTAGCCGCAGAGGTCTCCTCGTCTCCAAAACAAACAGACCTCATGATTTGAACCAGTAAAAACACAAAATAAAGCAGTTTCAGATTAAAATCAGTTTTTTTCAAACACTGTTTGGCTCATCAGAGGGGCTGTTCTCTTCAGTGGCCAAAGCGAAAACACAAATGGTCCTACCTAGAGCCAGTGTTTGGTTTGTCCATTCTGGGCTACTAGAAATATGGCGTTGCAACATGGCGGACTTTGTGGACAAAGACCCATTCCCCTTCTAAATAAAAATGAATCATTGTAAGATAACAAAAAGCATGACAATTCTTATTTTCAGGTGATAATACTATATTCCATTTCTACCCAATATATCCCTTTCAGTCCATCACACTTGACCTTTAAAGTAGCACACAAACGTACCACCATTATGGTATGTTAAAAGACAAACTGTTCCTGTAGCAGCTAAGCAATTTCTCAGTGACTGCTTGGAAGTGCAGTGACAAATACAAACAGCATTCACAACCGCAACATTCCTGTGTGGATTAATGGCAAAGAGAATGTACTTGTGCGGACGTGCTACAATCCCTGGTGGCTAAGTTACTGCAGTGCTAAATAATTTGGCCATTAGTAGTGGAAGCACAGTATGAGAAAGGATGAAAAAATATGGGGCTTTGAGAGTGGAAGCCCCCCTGCATGAGAAGATGTACCATACCACAAAGACTACTCAGGCCATTTGGCTACTGGAACGTATTCAATGGTTTTAATCAAACAGCGACAGCCCAATTAGAGAAGGTAGATGATTGAGGGCAAAAGGAGAGGAAATTAGATTAAATTCGCCTTCCTTTAGCGGTGGGTGAGTAACAGAAGGAGCAGCAGAGAGAGGCAGAAAGACAGGAACAGGAAGATGACAGGGTGGTCTGGTGGTTTTCGGCAACGTTTTTTCAGCTTCTCCCTGTCACTGGGAGATCATCCCATGTTGAGTTGTCTCTCTTTCAAGCGTGGGCGCCTCTGTCAGAGTTCACAGATTAGGAAAACAGGAGTCGCTGAGAGGCTTTATTTGGCTTGGGTGTAGAGGAGGGGCCGCTGTGGGAGGTGAGGATAGGAGAGGGACAGCTGAGCCACTTTGTATCCCAAGTGGGAGCCTTTCACGCTGCTCTAGAGAGTTGGTGTGGTGGCCCCACTAAGACTGCGAGTGAATGGGGGTCTACGGGGTCGCCTCTCTGGGATGACAGCAAGCTGAGGTCCAAACTGGTGCCCTGCTGTCCCTCCAGCCTGCTGTACAGTAATCCCTGGTGGGGTTATTAGTGGCTGCCCAGAACCATGGAGGACTTTTTAATGGGCTAACAACAGGACCACCGCTATTCTCATTATCATTATGGAGGGATGAATATAAAAGAACAGTGTGAGCAGCAACACAGTCAAAAAT